GGAGCAGGGAGTGGGCGACAGGTCACTATGTACCTGGCCCAGATGATGTCATAGGATGTAGATACTGACAAAGGAGATTGTCAGGACCCTTTAGGTCCCTAAGGGAAGGTTAGTTGAATTGCCTGCACAACATAACAAGGGCAGTGATGGATTTTTACAGTCTCTTTGTTATCGTGGTGATATGTATTAAAATGTATGTAGAGCAGATAAGTGTTACTAGTACAAAATAAATAATGAATGCCAGTGAATTTGCTGTAGGTGTCACTGAAGGGTTGGTGCACATAGAAGAACATAATCAGGATGTAATTGCCCTATGAAATGAAACTAACTTTAATTACATATGTAAAATGGATATACAGACACACTGCGAGCAGACTTATGACTTTTTACAAATTCTTTTTTTCTGTAAGTGGCTCAAACAACATTTTCCCTACCCTCTTTCATCCCCACTCCTCTATCCCAAAGCTGGGAAAAACATCCTTGTGTTTTGCAAGAAATGATGGGAAGATAGCAGACTTTGACAAGATTGTATTACATCAGTGCTCAGGATGCAGGAAGCGCTCAGGGAATTGGGAGGGGCCAGATAGACAGCTTCCTGCTTTCATCCAAAAGATATGTAAACTGATGTTAGCCGTTATGTCAACAATCATCCATTAAGTGTAAGGCTCATGACTTGGTGCAGGCCTTGCTAAATCCATAAAACATGGTCCATGACTTTGAGAACTTGGCAGTATAGTTTGGAAGACAAAAACAAACAAACAAAAAACCCCAGTGACTTCTGAACAGTGTTGTGGAAATAGAAGCATTATGGACAATAAGGAAAGACCACAGAAAGTAGGAAGGTTTCTCAATGGGGATAGGTCTTCAGCTGAGTTTAGGATGAATGTAGGAGTTAACTCAATGAAGGAGATGCACTGACCAGAAAATGGCAGCAACAACTGATCAAACGTCACTTCAGACACTGTCAATCTTCACAGCAGGATCGAAGAGAGAAGTGTAGAAGATCAGTCCAGAAATCTTGACAGATTTCAGTGTGAGAGTCTGGAATACCAGCCGGAGAGTCTGAGACACTGTCATGTTTCAGGAAGAGGTAGACCAAATGCATACCTGAGAACACAATGACAGGTACTTGAAATGAATCAAAAGTTGTCCAACTGGCAGTAGAGAGGCCAATAGACAGGTGAAGTCAACAACCTAGGCCATGCCCTCTAAGGCCCTAGATGAGGGGCATCCCTGCAGGTGGAGAAGCTTTGAGGTTCCATCCCAAGAAATGCTCCACAGCTAGGTGTCTCTTGAGTGTGTGGAATTTCCAGATACAGTGACTTTGTGTGAGCTGGAGCCATTGCTAAGGTAAGATACAGTGGAGGGAGAGAAACATTTAAGCTAGAATTTGCCGGCATTCCTGGCAATTTTCCTCTTGAACACCAAAAAGACAAAAAAAGATATTAGTTTGAAGACAAAATTATCAAAAAGACCAAGTCCTCCTCTAGTGGTGGAGAAGAAGACAAAAGCAAATGTTGGAAGCACTGATGGAGACAAAATGCATGACTTGTCTTCAATGAGACTTTAGCTCCTTTCCCACAGCTCATTATCATCAAGGAGATCTTTGGGGGGTATGCCGTCTTGGGAGAAGACAGCTACAGAAACCCCAAATGGGTTGGTGGATAATCTGGGAATCTTTCAAATCCTCTGCGAAGGGGAGAAAACAGCCTCTTTTACTTCAATAGCAATGAACCCAAAGTCAGCTTTGCAGAATCTTGGGAGGTCAGGGCTCTCTGGTTCCCACGGTCAAGCTCACTAGTTTGTACATGCCTTTGCCTTGACTGAACTTCTGGAGCGAGGACAAGGCCCTTTAACCTACTGGCTTTCTCCCAGAGGAGAGGCAGGAACGTGAGGAGGACCATGGGCTCAGTGTCTGTTTCCAGCTGTGGTCCTGGCTTGCATGTAATTCCTACTGGAATGACTTTACTTTGCTGTTAATGCCCCGCACCCCACCCTGTAGTATTACGTTCAAACCAGACAGTCTGAGAGTTTAGGATACCTTTTATCAAAAGGAACCAGAAAAGTGACTCTTACAGAGAAGCTGTCCTTAGTATCTAATACTTGCTTCCAAAATGCACTTTTGACCAGATCTGGGGAGACTTCCCACTTGCCTCAACTCAGGTAAGACATGGGAAAACCCCAGCAATGGGTCAGGCTCAGGACTCCAGCAAGCCCATGCCATTAAGATGATGGGTGATTAGCACTTTGTCCTGTTTCATTGTAGCCACCTTTGACTCCCTCTCTCTCCTGTCCCTCTCTTCCATTTCCTTAGCCCATTTCTTTTTCTTCTCCCTTTCTGCTTTGTTCTATTTGTCTTACCTTTTACCTCTCTACTTTCATCTCTTCCTGTCTCTCTTCTGTACTTTCTACCGCTTCTTTTTCCTCTTTCCCTCTCCCTTTTCTTCTTTTTCAACTACAGTAATGAAATGTGTGAGCTCTAGATGCACAATGGTGGACTTGACTCAAGCTCTACCACTTTTCTTATTATAAGCCACTGGGTCCATCTCAGAACTTTCCTGTATCCAAGTGTCCCCATCTGCAATGGAAAGCCACTAATGTCATCTTACTCAGGGGTCAAACAAGATAATGTAAAGCATTCAGCATCTGCTTGGCCCTTAGAACTCATGGCATGCTTGTAAGGTGTGACCGCCAACTTTTAGGCTCCCTTTGGAAAACTTACCCTCTCTCCAAGCATTATTCATCTGTATCCATCATAGAACAGTCTTTCATATTGCCTTTCTCAGCCCCTTGCCTATACAATCTAAAATATTGGGTGCTAAAGGTGAGTTATTACTAAGACACCTCACCCAATTTTCCCATAACCCCCAAGTGCTTTCCTTCCTCAGGTCATTTCCATGTACCATCTAGGCGTAAAAGGAACAAAACTATACAGACCAACACAACAGCTAATTTGACTGGCCATTGTTCTTAAGGACCTAAGCAGATTCCTGGTTTAAATTCAGCCTCTGAATGGGATGAACAGATAGCTACACTACCAGCTTTGCATCTGGCTGGTCACTTCAGTTAGCTGACCTAAGGAGGGCTTTGCCAGCATGTGTATTTGTTTGTTTGGTTGGTTTCTTTCTTTTTTTTTTTTTTTTTCACATTTAGCCTGGGCTAATGCATAGTTGGTTTTCCCTTAGTCATAGTTCTTTTCATATCTTTTCTTTCTTCTTTTCCCTTTCTCTTCTTTTATCTTTTTGTCATCAATTTAAATTTTTAAATCTCTAACAGTGGCAACAAGAGTACTCCCAGTACAGCGAGAGGCATGGTGGGGAGAATCCCCCAGAAAGTCTAGTTTCTGTTTTTAGAGTGCCATAGAGGAGAATGAGGCACCTTAATCCACACATCGGAGTCCCTGGCCGCTGTCCCCAACCACACAGACAGATTAATAGCATCAACATAGTGCAATGTTTAAGAGGTGGATCCCAGTATTGATCTGAGCAGTGGTGTTCTGCTGGACTAGCCAAGAATCTATGCACTATCTAACCTCCGACACTTTTCCATCTTGGGCCTCTACCTTCTGGAATGCATAGCCTTGGAGGAGGGAGCAATAGAGGGTATATTTTGGCTCCATTCTTGATCCAGGTGCAAGTGACACCTTTGCTGCTTTCAGCCCATCTGCATGTGGCTCTTTGGAGGCTGTTGTGTCTCTGCCCTGCTCTTCGTGGACTGTGATGCCTCAGTGCACATCCCAGCTCTGTTGCTTGTAGGGTGGTAAGCTACTCTGTCTTTTCATTAGTTACCTCATCTGCAAAAGATTTCACAGTCAGTCCTCATGACTGACCTCTCTACCTCAGGGCTGTTTTGAGAATCACATGTGCTTGAGGAAGAAAACAGAGGGATCTCAACCTGCGTTTGGAGGGGTCAGGTGCAAACATCTTGTATAAATATTTATGAGAAATTTGGGTTCCTTTGTGCATTTTTCATTTTTTTTAAGTTTAGGGTCCAAGGTTTCTGAAAGATCTTTAAAGGCTTCATTACTCAGGGCAGGCCTACTACCCTGTAAGTACAACCCTTCAAACAGAAAAGAACTAGAAAATGAGGGTCTCATGACATGATCAAGTCCTGGTTTCAGATGCGAGCGTTCTGTGACCTCTTTCTCAGAAACTGGCAAAGGGCAAAGACGATTCTGAGCAGCTGTGGTAGAGAGCTGTCTCCCAGACACTTCTGGGTACTTTCAGCCTCCTCAGTCTCTGCACAATCTACCTTCCGCCATCCAGGCAGATAACTGAAAGGAGACAGCTGCTCAGAAGGTGAACCCTACCCTTAAAATCCTAATGCTCTGCAAAAGGAAAGTTGTGCCAGTCATCCCAACATTTGGGAGGTTGAGACAGGAGGATCACCAGGTATCTGAGCCCGAAATAGGCATCAGAGTTGGGTTACAAACCAGCTGGACTACAGAGTGAGACCTCATTTGGTTTTTGTTGTTGTTGGTGGTGGTGTTTTTGTTTGTTTGGTTGGTTGGCTGGTTGGTTGTTTTTTTTTGTTTGTTTGTTTGTTTAAAGCCCATTGAAGACCTGCAAACAGGTCACTGAATCTGCTTAGCCCTCTTTGAACCTAGAGCAGTCCTGGGTCCACGAGCAGAAGCAGGCAGAACATGAAAGAAGCCCAAGCTGAAACAATACAGTTTCTGCTTTACTTCCTGGAGTTAGCAGGGGAAGGGGAAGAGACTCCGTGTGAGTCATTTTCTAAAGGCGTTCTCTGCCCTGCTGTTTCTCCCACCATGCCTCTCTGGATCATTAATGTGTTTCCAAGCAGATTGTTTTGTAGGAAGCATTTATTTACTATTATTATTAAGATATGTGTGTTTCACTGGAAGCGTCAGCGTTGAGGCCTAGAAAGCACATGACAGAAACAGGCATGCATATGAAAGGAGTATTCTCTGCATGTACCAGCAGCAGGCAGCCTGACCAGATCAAAGAGCGATGGAAATACAACTGAAAACACACTCAAAATGTATTACATAAAATAATTTACTTCTCATTCGGAATGACTTTCCAGACCTAGTTGAGAGACAGCAGTCTGTGAGTACAGGCACAATCTCAAAGTCACGATAATAATAGGGCAAGACCAAAGAGTTGTACACATAATGACTGTGTATAATGAACACAGGGTGGGGAACACTCTTGGGGAGTTCTGGGGACATCACAAGCAAGAAGACGGTCAGAGAGACAAGGAGGGTACAGTTAGAAAACTGATTGCGTCGACACAATGCGACTTGGATACACACTACTTCAGCGTCTTCGTTTCGCAGCCCGGTACGCTGGCTCACCAGCCACGGTGGTGCTCATGCGTGTGACTTAAACTGGAGCACTGGGTGTGTGCAAGAGCACGTATGCGCTCTCAGAGGCAGTAGTTTTAGAAGAATGAGAAGAAAATTACTTCCTGGGCTTTCATTAGTAATTCAGGTAATGCCCCGTACCTCCACTTATAAAACAATACAATAATAAAAACATTGTACAAAACAACATCATAAATAACACAAATGAGAAATTTTCAAGTATTTCGTGTGCCTTGAAAAGTCCCAAACAGTAGTCCTCTCTTCCTCTTTTCTCTGTTTCTTTCCTCTCTCCTTTCATTGGTCTCTGCTAGCCTTGATGTTTGGGATGGGAATGAACATGCTCTTACCTCAAAGCAGAAAACCAAGGAGGGCTTTTCAGTGTCTGAGAGCTTACTTCCTTCCTCCTTAGAAAGCATAGCCTTTCCCAGGTAAGCTTAGAACCATGCAGGAGGCCATGGTTCTGAAAGTGAACGACCAACCACAGTGAACTCAAGGGGCTCCTCTGACAGGTGACATCCTCAGGGGGTGGGAATAGAAAAGCACCTTATCAAGAGAGGAAAGAAATGGGATAGTCTTTAGGTCCTCTGCCCTCACTGACGCAGTAGCCCTTGGCAGGGCTAGGCGGCAAGGCCTGGACCACATTCCTTCAGTCGACTCAAACATCCCATTGCCCAGCTCCAGACTAACCCAACTGCTAATTAGCACGCCCTGAGCGCCCAGGCAAAGAAGGGAAGGCCATCAGCATAGGGACTTAAAAGTGCCGGTAGTGATCACTGACGCAAGGTAGTCCTGTGTCAGTCAGACAGTGGATTTTTCAGAGCATTCACCCCTTAGCTTAGTGCTCAGTGTGGAGGCCATGAGTGCTTAGACACAAGAGGCCCTGATTCCTCTCCCTCAAGACCCAACGGTTTTACAGAACTTGTTCTCCGCAAGTTAAGGTTCCTTTCTTAGCCTGCCTGGCAGTTAATTTTAGTTTGCCCTGTTCAAATATGGTATGAAGGACCAGAAATCAGAACAGGCTTGTAAGCATGTGTACACACTCCGATTTGAGCACCTAAGGTCTTTGCCGTCTTTTCCTGTAGAAATGTGTGTGCACGTTAGAATGTATATACATATACATACACATTCACACACATATTTAAATAGGTACAATATATACAGAACGTATATGCATATATCAAATGTATTTAACATACACACACATATCAATCTCACCTAAACATCGAGAGTCTGTAGGAAGTGCTGCTGGCTCACATGGCATGTGCATTTGGTGTCACATGAAGCGTACCAACCAAACTAACTTGAGGTCAAACTGTTGGAGGGGGGGGACTGCCAGCAAGCTCTGAAAATCCAGACCTACGGGGCCATTATTTGGAGACATGTCATAGGACACCCTCAAGAAGATGGGAAATTTTTAAATGAATTGGGTCATACCCCAATGAAAACCCCCACACCACAACTAAGTCTACTTTTTACGTGGAAGTGACTCGCACACGGCAGGCAGCGTGGACACTAGGCTACAATGTGGATAAAGCGATGGTGCTTAATACAGATCAATATTTGGCCTCAGGTTTTTCCAGAGCATAGAGTCTTGGCATTTCAGCTCCCTGCCTCTGTGTGAGAATTAGGCACACTGAGGGACCAGGGAAGCGCAGTCTGCAGAGCTCTTGGCTCCCTTCTGCTTCTCTGCCCCGCAGCTGGAAGGATTGGTCAGGTCGAGATAGAATCGAGACTTGAGGAAGCGGCGATATGAATCCTTTTCCATCAGGTTGAAAATCTTCTTCTGGGCCTCATCAAAACAGGTGATCGTGGGCTCTAACATGTTCCGGCTTGTCTCCTCCCTTGTGCAAGAATCCAGGTTCACCTGAAGTGCAAAGATCAAGGTTGCATTAGATCTAGAACCCTGTTGAAGAGAGGAGGCCGCAGGCTTATTTATATTCAACAAGAAGTAGCTGGGAACCTTCCTTTACATTCCTCCCAGGAGTGAAGCCCCAGGACATTTGGGTCTGCCCTGACATATGTGAGAATATAAAAGTCCATTCTGTCTCAAGGTGGAAAGAGCACTTTCTTTTCCTTTACTCTCACACTGGGGAGATTTATGATTGTATTTATTAAGGAGGGTCACCGAGCTCATACAGAGACAAAAACAACTTTTTTCCTAATAGACTTTCTTGAAAGGTTGTCACGATTATAACAGCCTGCCCCATTGTTCCTTTAACTAGTGGGTCTAAAGATTCTCCACGCTGAGTGCCACTCCTAGGAACCCTCGCTCAGATCTAGAAAGTTCCCTACCATGAAAACTCACCTCTTTTGTTGCTTGCACTGAGATGAACTCATTGTAGATCTTCTTGGCCTTGGGACTTAGTTTAGAAGGTGACTTGATTTTCTTGTACTCCTCACAACTGATCCAGAAGTCAATGTTCTCTTCACTGTACTCTGACTTCAGGAAAGCTTTGAAAGCCGCCAATCCACCTGTGATGGAGGACAAGGAGCCACAGTCACCACACAGGCTGACTTGCTAGATAGAGCACTTCAAACAAGGCCCATGTACTTAGGAAGCCAGGTATAATTTCAAGACGCTCCTCTTGCCCTTCCCTCTTTGAGGGTCAGCTAGCCCACACTCGTGGTTGATCTATAGAAGGCCCCAGTTTTATCTGGTGGTGTCTACTCAAGACTGAGTCATCTTTCAAGGAATCATATTTCTGAAGCCTCTGTAGGACTAGCAACTGCCAAGGTGGGTTTAAAATGAGAGCTCGTGCTCACTGTGCTGAAGATCTCATTATGGGAATCTTTTTTTTTTTTTTTTGCCTATTTTTTTCATGCAATGAGAGAGATGTTTTTTGTTGTTGTTGTTGTTGTTGTTGTTGATGATGATGATCAGATGGTTCCTGGATAAACTTTCCATGTAATTTGGCAGTTCTGTAACATATCAGCTATATGGCTAAAATGCTTGTATCATATCCTGGAAGTCAAGAGGAGGCCAGGCCTTCTAATGTAGTCCCCATTAGACTGACATATTATGGTTTGTCTGACACTGCTATCCTCAGTGTGTGTGTGTGTGTGTGTGTGCGCGCGCGTACGCGCACGCGCATGCATGCATGTGTGTGTGAGGACAGAGAAAGAAAGTGAGAAAGAAGTATGGTTACTTACATTCATGGTTAATCAGGTTTTCCAGCGATTCAGCCCATTTCTTGACTTCTTCCTGGCTCACCCTGGAGATATTGCAGAAGAAAGAATGCTTTGAATACATAGCATAAAACTGAAACAAATAAAAAAAAACTAAGGCAAGATGTGATATATTATTTATTGGGATACTTGTTATGAAATATGTAGAGATCTAAATTCTAACTAGGATTGTCATAAAATGAAATCTCTGTCTCTCTCTTCCCCTCTCTCCTCTTCTGTGTGTGTGTGTTATAAGATCTTGTTGTAAGTCTCAGGTTCATCTTGAACTCATGGCCCTCCTAACCTGCCAAGTATACAGTTGTGTATGCTCACCTTGGAAACAGGGGCATCTTGGTTCAAATCTGGCTCAACGGCGGGGGGGGGGGGCTGTCTTCCCACTCACTCTTCCCTACAGCATCTCCATTACCGGGTAGTTAACATTCAATGGCTCTTCACCAAAGCCATTTCTCTTACCTCTGGCAAGTAACTACTTTGTCCTTCTTGCTGTGTGAAGAACTGTGTTCACAGGAATCAGATTTCTGCAGCAGGAACCCCAGCCGATGCTTCATATCCTTTGCACTGCAAGAGAGAAAACAAGAATTGACATGAAAAACAGATTTCTTTCAAAGAGAGACGTGCAGGTGCTTAAGAATCCATGAGTGCTGTCTGGGTTGGCAGCATCCCCTTGCGGGAGTTGCAGCAGTATGAGATCCCAGAACAATTTCCTCTGGTTTTGCCTATGACCTTCGATATTTTTGGTGAAGCCATGCTAATAAGTGACTGCTCTTTTGAAATGTGTGCAGTATCTGTAAACTATAAAACCTTCTCCTTATAGGACGCCTCCTGGAAGCTGGGTGCTACTTCCCACAGCAAGCAATGAAGCACGTCAACGAGGTAGAAGTAAGTTCAGTCAGCCCTGAGAGTAGCAGCCAAGCGGTTCCCAAGGGTGTGTGTGTGTGTGTGTGTGTGTGTGTGTGTGTGTGTGTGTGTGTACAGAGCATAAGCTTGGGTAGTAGCCCCGCAGAAAGGAGTAGGGAAAGTGAATGGCACAAATGCTCAGGCTGAAGGCTGAGCCCCACCGAGCTTGTTTCTAGGCAATCTCTAGTTAGAGCTACAAAAACAAACAAACAAACCTACAGTACAGATACAGATACATACTGCAAAGGGCATTCGAGACTCTGGGATGGGAAAAGCAGCACAGAGTCATCGCTGAGGTGGGTAATTATTTAATTAGGGCAGTTTCCAGTTTACTGCTATCACTTAAGAGGCAACCAGGGCATAGCCGAGATTCTAAGGACTTGACCTTCCAGCCCAGCTCCGTCACTCTTTCTTAATGGGTTTTATTATTATTCCTGTTATCTCTTTTATTATAGAAGCCAGGACATAGTTTAAGAAAAATGGTGTTTCCAAAGCAACAAAGAATGATATGCCCTTGTATATCTGGAAGGGTTAAACAGGAAGGGTAGTGCACAGTGGCATTTTAGGATGGATGGTAGCTTATCAGTGGATTTGCTCAGGACGTCCTAATCTCAGCGCTGCTCTTGGGCTGCCCTTTAAGTAGTATTTTTCCATCTCTTAAAAGGCTGTCTTCCTTTCTCTTTTTCCCCAGCTGATGACTAGTGACAAAGTCCTCCCCAGTGACAGCAAGATAAAATCACCAGAGCTGGGACAGTCCTAAGGTGATGCTTCGGACGCACTGTAATCCAGCTCAAAGAGAAATGACTTTCTATCTGCTTATGCTTCCTCTGCATGAGCCCTGACAGCTACTGAAAAGTGCAAGGGCATTTCCAAAGAGCTGGAAGCATGCTTGGCAAGTATCTTGAAACACAACAGAAGCATAAAAATAAAAACAAAGTGACTTCAGAAATAACCTGGATATATATATATTCCTTCTTCTGCTGTCACCAACCATGTAACCTTGAGCAGATAAGACCCTTTGGAAACCCCAACACTGAAGACAAGAGCTGCTTAACCCTTTGAAGGCTGGCTCAATAACACACAAACGCTATCCTTCTCAGAAGTATTGCCAAATTGAAATTTCAGGTAATTTCTATTTCCAAGGATGGTGGTGGTGGGGGTCACAGACCCCTAGATGACTTCTGACCTTTAATTTCAAGTGGAAATTACAGAACACACACTAACCTTGTGTTTTACTTTAAATCAGCTACTGTATAATTACTCTATGAAATCATTCTTTTATACCCTTAAAAAAAAGAAGCCAAAGATACACCAGTGCCTCTAAAACTTTAAGCTAGTATGTTACAATCAACATTTATTTCTCAACCACATCTCACTTCAACAACTGGAGGTGGGGCAGAGAGATAGGAGAGGTCTAGTTTGGAAAAGAATCTTTTACTCTCAGATTTGTTTACAGCTACGGGGGAGAAGTGGGAGGGTGGACGGGACTGAGAGGAGAAAAGGGAGGGGGCTGCAGCGGGGATACAAAGTGAATAAATGGTAATAAACAAATGTATAAATAAAATTAAATTAAAAAAAAGTCAGATCCAAAGTCTCAAATCTAAAGTCATGCGAAATAAAACACACAGGTAGCAACCTTTGAGAAGCCTGCTTCTGAGGTCAAAGTGCCTGGCTAGTCCTAGGAAGAAGCTACCGGGGCATATTGCCTCTAATCCCAGAGAACTTTTCAAGAAAAGCATGCTGGTCACTGAGAAAGTCAATGCAAAACTTTAGCCTGGCCAGTAACAGAAAACAATCTTACCTCCTCAGGCAGGAAGCCGGCAGACCTGCAAGTCCTTTGCACATCTTGTTTAACTGTGGGATTCGCAGCGAGGAGAGAAAGGCAGCGGGAGGAGTGGTGGTTTCTATTTTGAGCACAGTTGCTTCTGCTCGAAGCTGTCAGAATTCTCTGAGCCTCTGGCGCGCAAGCCTGGAGGGGTCTCTTTTATAGCCCAGCCACGCGCCCGGCAGCCAATCAGATGGCAGGTCTGCAGGCTCAGCTCGCGGTGGCGCTCAGCCTCTCCAGCCCCTGGAAAGGGTGAAGGAGAACGCACTGACGCATCTGGGGTGCAAAGGGACCAAGCTGAGAGAAGCAAAGCAGGCATATAGAAAATGAGGCTTTGCTTAACGTTTCTACCCCCGTGTGAATTTCTGGATTTGTAGGAAGGGGAAATATAGAACCCAGGGGACTGAAAAATTTGGTACTTATTCCATGGTTCATAAAATTCGATGGCTCTAAGGAAATTGCCTCCCAGAAAGAAAACGGCAAGAAGTCTTCAGGATTTTTTTTTTTTTTTGTTTTTGTTTTTTTTTAGGGTGATTCTCAATACGCTTTTCCCTTTGGATTAGACATATATTCCGTGGAGTCCAAGGGCGAGTCTGTCCTAAGATCATGGTCTCTAGGCAGTGATTTGTGGAAGTAGCCTGCCTGACTGATAGGCACAGAGGGAAGTGGATGGCAGAGAGCTATATGCAGGGCAGCATAGCAAAAGCAGCCGTTGGAAGATAAGTCCAGTATATCTGTAATCGACTTGAGACATTCCTAATATGTTACCGAGAACAACATTCAGTCTAGCTTTGATGTTCTCACGTGAAGAAGCTCTGCTCCTGCAAAAGCTTAAAAGCTGTTTTACAACAGCTTAAAACTAAAGCGCGGGGCGGGGCGGGGCGGGGGGGGGGAGTTTGCAAATGAACACATAAGACACCAACTCACGTTGCAACTGGGTTTATATCTTACGTAATTCTCTAAGTCTTTACTATTCAGAGAGGGAGAGAGACAGAAAGAGAGAGAGAGAGAGAGAGAGAGAGAGAGAGAGAGAGAGAGAGAGAGAGAGAGGCTCCAGCAGGCTCCAGCAGGCTCCAGCAGACAGCAGGCTATGCAGTTTGCCTTGCATATTAACAGGCTGTGGAAACGCTGCAAGAACATCCATTCCTGCTGGAGCTTCTGAACTTCTGGACACCTTTTCACATTTCATACCGTGGACTGAATTCTTCGGGCTCATGCAAGTGTTTCACATCTTGTACTCATGCTTGAAATACCCAGATATGAGCTACAAAGGGACCATTTTCACACTGGAGAGCCGTGACTAGAAGGAAGAAATCGATTTCAATGTCTGTCACCGTAACAGCTTTCATCTTAAAATCACACAGGTGCTGGTCATAGCCCAGTGACCTGGAATTCATACACAGAGACAACACTGTTTTTCAGTCTTTTTGGCCAAAAGCAAGAAAAAAGAAAAAAAAGAGAGATATCAGATAATTTGCACAAAGAAAGATACCTGTACATGGGTTTCTCTCAAAGGTACCAAGAATATAGAAGGGGAAATAGAAATGTCTAATGTTCTTCTATGCGCTGGACAACAAAGGTTGTTGCTCCAAACATCCCATCCCCTTTATCCAGACATCCCCATGCACATCTTCCTTGGCTAGCAGAGTTTGGAGAGAGCAGGCAAGTGTGAAAGAGAGCAATAAGTATTCCGTTATAGGGAGAGCCCCCAGCTTTCTCCCATAAAGACGGAAAAACACTTGTCAAATCAGCTACTGAAAAACCTGTCCTTGAATTCTAACATGAAACATACGGAAGTCCTTAGCTGTCCTTGCTGGTGGCGTGGAAAGTCATCACCGTGCAAGCTGAGGTGAGAGAGACCTTGGAGAAGATGTGCAGGCAGGATTTGCATTAAAAGAGAGACTATTACTCCACAGTGAACTACAGCGTTGTTGCTTACCTGAGAGCCTAAGAGAGGATCACTCAGACAATTTCATTTCAGGAGCATCAGCGGAAGACTCAAGGAGATGTACTGATGCTTGAAAAAAATTCCAAGGGAAGAAAGAATATTTTGCCTCAGATCCAGAGGGAGAGAAGGATGGCATCACGCTTCAGCATAAGTCGCTGCGACAAATGTACTTTAAAAGTACTTTAAAAACCATCCAGTCTAATATTCTCATTTCACCAAAAGATAAATAGAATTCTAGAGAAGAAAGCAGCTTTCCAAACATCACAGTTTTCTGTTCACAGGACAGGACACAGACCCAGGTTTCTTGACACTCGGGTGTGTAGACTGTCCACTGATCTGCCCTGTCATTCAACAGTCTTATCAAATGAGATATGCTGTGTACACAGAGATATTTCTAAACTGTAAAGTGCTTGGCAAATATTTTTAATTATCAGAATATACCTAGCAGATAATAAAGCTCAGAATTAATTTTATACATTTCATTCAAGGACCTCTCTCTGTCTCTCTGTTTATGTTTCTCTGTCTGTATCTCTCTCTCTTCCTGGATTCCTCTTATTCCATGCAAACAGGAACTATAGCAGACTTCCTGATGGCTTCTCTAAGAAAATCAGTTCTTTAACTCTTTACCCTGTCCAGGCATATCATTCATTTCTTTGACTCTCCCTTCCTTTCCTAATAGTTTTAATACTTTCACAAAGTATTTGAAAAGCTTCCCATAAATTAGCTTATTATTATTATCTTTGCAATGGGCCTTGTTGCTTGTGTAGAGGAGGCAAGACTGGCACATCATGACATCGTGACAATGGTCTGCCTCCCTTCTCTGACAAGCACAAAGCATCAAATCCTATTATTTGCCATTCCCACATGATCCTTGTATGGATGGGGTTTGCTCTCAAGAGGTCAATTTTGTTTTGCTTTCACTTAGACACACCTTCTGAACATGTGGTGGTGAAAAGACAGCACAGCCTCCACCCCAGTAGAGCTTTCAACCCAGTGGACAAATCAGAAAGCATCCAAGACAGGGGATTTCAAGGGTTTGAGGGGGTGTGACAGAAGGCAACTGGTGGTCAGCAGGCTTTTTAGCCAAAGTGGCGGTAAAGCTTAGAAAACAATAGTCTAGAAGTAAAAATACTTTTTCCTTAAGCTTAGGAAGAGCAAAAGTGAGCTGAGGGGTAGTGGGCTAGGGAACGGAAGAAGGAGCCAGTCAGTGACTTGGAACTGAGGTACAGGTGAACGCTGTCTCAGAATCTGCAAGGGCTAAGGAGGTGTACTCAGGAAGCTGGACTTAAAGAGATCTGATCACCCTGGCTGCCGTGGGAGGAAGGGTTGAGGTGTGGAGGCAGGAGGAGTAGTTAGCAGTGCGAATGCCAAGTCATTAGCTTCTGCAGTGCAAAATGGAAGCTTATTTCTGAAATTAGTATTTAATAGACACTGCAGCAAAGATTCTGTTAGGCCCCGGAGATTTAAATGGGAATCAGGAATGGTTTGCGCCTCTCAGCAGCAAACCCGATAATGGGGGAGAAGTGTGAATCACTGGAAAATTTCAGGTTAAGTGCCGTGATTACAAACTTGTTCAGTATCTACCTGATGGCAGGAAAGCTCTGGAAGATACAGAACGGGCTCAACCTTTGGAATTTGGAATGGTTTTCACAAAAGAGGTGGGTAAGTGGTGGATAGATGCACAGGCGTTACGCAAAAGAGCTACCGGCATTGTGATACAGTACACAACAGTAATTACCAATGTTTTCATCATTAATTGTATTAATGACAGTATTTCGAGCATTTTATAACAGTTGTTTCAACCCCTCCTCCCCCCACAATCCTTCCTTTTAGAACATTCTCTGTGTTCCTCATGGAGGATTGGAGTAGCTTTCCTAAGATTTCATATCTGAGCTGTGGAGATGGCAAGCAGTTCAGGCAATCTGATTCATCGGTCCTGGCATGAATTGCTGTGGTATCATAGCCATGTCAGACGAAGGAAAGTGGGCTGTTTGAAGACAGAGAAAGTTCCTGGGTTTCTCAGGATCAGAGCCTGGGCCTTGGTAGCCCTAACAATCTAGGCCTAACTGCTTCTCCTCAGTATACACTCAGAACAGTGAAAGGCACAGTAAGATATATTCAGTGTGACCACATTGGGAAGAAGAAGTAAAGAAATCCAGTGAACCCTTCAAGGCCATGTTGAATCCTGTCGTGAGGTTTAAATAAAAGGCAACCTCCGTCAAGGTATGGTCCGGCCAAGCCATTGCCTTAGCTCTAGTCTCTCCTTCAGGGTGGTTTGACAAAGTGTCAGAACTATGTGAAATCTCTTCCTGGAAGACAAATCTCACCTCTGGCTGACACCAAGCTTCAGTCTTTTCCTTCTTCTAGCATGAGGCCCCTGGGGGTGGAAGTTGGGTGGGGGCGGGGGCAGGGATGGATTCCAAATTTTTGAAGCCCATTTTCTCAAAAATCTGATAGCCAAAGGGATAGGCACAGGCATCTCTTTAAATGCCACCATTTTCCCCAGAAAGAATAGTATCATTATCATGATTGCCTTTTTGAGAAAGAAGCATAGGGAAATCAAGCTGTTTGGGACCTCTTTTTAGACAGCTCGTTTTAAAGGTCATTGATGACAAATTGGAGGACCAAAGGGACCCTAGAGAGATGTCCCTGTCAATCTAAGGGTTTGGTTGATTGTTTCTTTGGTCACTCTGAAGACCACAGTTTACTTGCAGAGGGTCTGAGCTGGCCAAAGTACTTATGGGAGCCATGCTAAGACTGCTTGGGAGAGAAAGAACATTGAAACAGGCTGCACTGAAAGTCCCCAGGAGGATGTGGGAAGCAAACAGAGCCACGCACAGAAAAGAGCTCCTTAGGCCCTAGACTGCAGTTCACCTCAGAGAAACTGTCTACCAGGGGAACAGAGAGCTGATTCCCACTGTGCAGCATGAAGTCACAGTGGGGTATGAGCTGTGTGTGGTATGCCAGTAAAATTTTAAATCCCCAGACTTTGTTGTCTTTTGAACAAAAGAGAATCTGCCTTAAGTGTTTGTGTGATCTAATGCAATGAAATAAGCCACCGAGGCAGGTCTTCCTGGATTTCTTATTTCCATCAGATTCTAAACGGGAGATTGCTGCTCCTCATGGCCCGGATGTGAGCCAGAACTCTGCCGTGGGCTATGTTTGCACTATCTCAGATTACAATTTCCTCTAAGC